TTATTATTTAAAAAATAGGGAAGCTCTTTATGTTCGGATAAGGAAATGACTCCGAGACATACAGTAACCGCAAAAGCAAGATGATGCTGGCACAGAATAGAAATGATACACACTTTCTGTGTATAAAGATGTGTATTGGGGCTGGAGGGGGAGAATATATTTGCATATTTGCTTGTATTTATACAAAGAAACTTGGAAAGATTCACAAGAAATTCCTATGTAGCCACGTGAATGAATCACGTATTCGGACAAATAAAACCCCAAATGTTGGCCGTGAGGTGGAAGTTCTCAGCATTCCTAGCGATGCCTGCTCCTCAAAGGCCTGCCCGGCCTCCTCAGCTCCTCGTTCCCAAGCCCTTTCCCGGCCTCGCCCCGCTCTTGCTCACAACCCCCAGTGCCTGTCTGGCTCCCGGAATCTGGCAGAGCAACCCAGCCCTCTCAGCTTGCATTAGGGCTCAGAGAGCTGAATGATCCAGACACGGGTCACACCCAGGGACACACGGGGCAGGGATCCAAGCTGCACACCAGGACATCAAAGCAAATGACTTCTGACAAAAGCCAGCCTTACTAAACACAGGTGAAGGAGACATTCTTTGGAGAACAATTTTATTAACAGTTTAAGAACCTTAGAAGTGATACAGTAAAACTACTGTAAATCTGTCCTAAAGAAGGAAAGAATATTTTTATTGTTGTTGTTGAGACGGAGTCTTGCTCTGTTGCCCAGGGTGGAGTGCAGTGGTGCCATCTCAGCTCACTGCAACCTCTGCCTCCTGTTTCAAGCGATTCTCCTGCCTCAGCCTCCTGAATAGCTGGGATTACAGGCGTGCACCACCATGCCCAGCTAATTTTTCTATTTTTTGGTAGAGACAGGGTTTCACTGTTGCCCAGGCTGGTCTCGAACTCCTGGCCTCAAGTGATCTGCCCACCTTGGCCTTCCAAAGTGCTGGAGTTCCAGGCGAGCCACTGCGCCCGGCCCCAGAAGGACTCTTTTTAAAGGGGAAAAACTCTAATTTCACAGCAGCATCCTTGCCGATGGTAAGGCAGGAAGCTGTCTAGATGTCCAACGGCAGGAGAGTTAGGCCTGGGGAGGGTGGGGTTGCATCTCATACGGGTGAGGGGTCCAGCCAAAGTCACCCTTGGAAATCTCTTTTTTTTTTTTTTTGAGACAGAGTCTCGCTTAGTCGCCCAGGCTGGAGTGCAATGGCGCGATCTCGGCTCACTGCAAGCTCCGCCTCCCGGGTTCACGCCATTCTCCTGCCTCAGCCTCCCGAGTAGCTGGGACTACAGGCGCCCGCCGCCTCGCCCGGCTAATTTTTTTTGCATTTTTAGTAGAGACGGGGTTTCACCGTGTTAGCCAGGATGGTCTCGATCTCCTGACCTTGTGATCCGCCCGCCTCGGCCTCCCAAAGTGCTGGGATTACAGGCGTGAGCCACTGCGCCCGGCCGGAAATCTCTTTAATCACCCATAAAGTAGGACATTTGAGGTTTAACATGATAGTCCTTAGCCGTGATAAGACTTTTTTTGTTTTTGAGACTGGAGTTTCACTCTGTCGCCCAGGCTGGAGTGCAATGGCGTGATCTTGGCTCACTGCAACCTCTGCCTCCCGGGTTCAAGCAATTCTCCTGCCTCAGTCTCCTGAGTAGCTGGGACTACAGGTGCCCGCCATCACGCCCGGCTAATTTTTATAATTTTAATAGAGACAGAATTTCACCATGTTGCAGGTTGGTCTTGAACTCCTGGCTTCAAGTGATCCTCCTGCCTTGGCCTCCCAAAGTGCTGGGATTATAGGCATGAGCCACTGTGTGCCTGGCCCATGGTACGGAATTACTACTGTGTCATACACACAGTAATGTGTCTTGTATACACTATGCAAAGTCTAATTTTACAGGTTTTTTTTTTTTTTTTTTTTTTTTTTTTTGAGACAGGGTCTCACTTTGTTGTCCAGGCTGGAGTGCAGTGGCTCATTCATGGCTCACTGCAGCCTCGACCTCCCAGGCTGACGCTATCTTCCCACCTCAGCCTCCTGAGTACGTGGGACTACAGGCGTCACCACGTCTGGCTAATTTTTGTGTTTTTTGTAGATACGGAGTCTTGCTCTGTTGCCCAGGCTGGTCTTGAACTCCTGGCCTCACGTGATCCTCCTGCCTTGGCCTCCCAAGGTGCTGGGACTGAATCACTTGTGCCTGACCCAGTATTTTGTTTTTAAAGATGGGGTCAGCTGGGCGTGGTGGTGCATGCCTGTAGTCTCAGGTACTCAGGGGACTGAGGCAGGAAAACCTCCTGAACCCAGGAGGCAGAGGTTGTAGTGACCTGAGATTCTGCTACTGCACTCCAGCCTGGGTGACAGAGGGAGACTCCAACTCAAAAAACAAAAAACAAAAAACAGATGGGGTCTCCCTGTCACCCAAGTGGCAGTACAGTGGCGTGATCGCAGCTCACTAGTCTCGACCTGCTGGGCTGAAGTGATCCTCCTGCCTCCGCCTCTCAAGTAGCTGGAACCTCAACTGCGTGCAGCACGCCTGGCTCCGGTATTTAGAGTGCACGTGTGCTGCTGAGTTTACCGGGGGGTCTATGCAGAGTGTGACACCACTGCACTTGTTTCCGGGGCACACTCATTTCCGGGGCACACTCATTTCCGGGGGACACTCATTTCCAGGGGACACTGGTCATCACGAATGTGACACCATTGCACTCATTTCCGGGGGACACTCATTTCCGGGGCACACTGGCCATCACGAATGTGACACCATTGCACTCATTTCCGGGGGACACCCATTTCCGGGGCACACTGGCCATCATGAATGGCCGCTCTGGAGACTGGCGTGGTTGGAGGCCGGGTGGGTGGTCTTCCTTGCTCCAGGCACTGATGCCTGCTCCCATCTATCAGGGAAGTGCCTCAACCCTTCCAGCACCAATGCACCAAACAAAAACATCACCGTTATCAGGACGTGGCAGGCCCCTCAGGATTCCCCGACGTTCCAGACGCTGGCCAAGCCTGTGTTGCCCTCGCCGACGATCCTGGCTGCTGCCGGCATAAACGTCGCCTTGACAGTGCATGGGTAAAACCACGGTCCTGCTGACGTCTGGTCCCACGTAACGATCTCCCTGCATCAAGACGCCGATGTCTGGCTCATGATCCCCGACGCTTTACAGTGGAAAATGACCCAGTGAAACAAGGAGGATGTGTGTAAAACTTGGAGGTGCAAACCCGAGGCAAAGCAAGGTTACCTCTGCACAGAGGGCCCATCTCAGGAGCAGCGCCCAGGAGCCACGGCAAACACAAACAGCCTGAACATGCTGGTTGCGTCTGATCGAGGAAGCTAAGCAGGGTTGGGTCTGGTTAGTACTTGGATGGGAGACCAACTGGGAATACCAGGTGCTGGAGGCTTTTGGTAAAAAAACAAAACAAAACAAAAAAAACCACTACATACAAAAATTTTTCCATGTAAAAAAAACCTTAAAAAAAAAGTCAAAACAGCAATGACAAATTGGGGCAAACATTTACAAAATAAATAATACCAGAAGGCTAAGTCCCTTAATATGTAGAGAGTGGTTATGACTGAAAAAGAAGTCCATGGCAACACACAGGCATGGATGCGGTTGAGTTCATAAAGCAACATAAACGCATTTTTAAACAGAAGAGAAACTGCCATTTGACTCATCACTAAAGAAATGCAAGTAAAATCAAGCCCTTTCCATCTTTCTGATTTAGCAAAGATAGAAATGTTTGCAGACGCTGCACCAGGAGGATGTGGGTAACATCTGCCTGAGGACGGTCACCACGGCTCTGCCCTGGCAGCAAAGGCCACCTGCGACCCCGAGCAGCCACTGGGGAGCCGGAACTGAACCGCAGTGCGCTGCGGCGGGAGGAAGCCAGCGTCTTCCCAGAGACGGCTTCGCGTCCAGGTGCAGGGGGCCGATGAGCGTCTGTGGGATGGACGGCTACTGCAAGCCGTGGGCGGGGGCGGGGGGCCCCGCGGGACGTCATCTCAGAAACCAACACATCAGGAGACGCCTAGAGTGCTACATAAAGTCAGCCACCGCTTGTGAGAGGAACCAGGTATATGGGACCGTGGGGGTGGGGGTGGCAGAGGAGCCTGGCTGTGCAGGGTGCAGGCCACACGGCTTTGCTCTCTGCCTCGTCCAGGGCCTGTGGCATTTCCGAGTCGTTGTGGGCAGCTGTGGGGCCTGTGCCTATGTGTGTGCCTGGCCCCACGCACCCACCTGCTCCAGTTTGCCCTGCCTCACCTCACCCACACTGGCCTTTGTGGCAGGCAGTGTCTGGACCCCAAGCGCCATAAGGAGGAAAAAGTGTAATTCCCTTTCTGGGTTTTGGTAAATTGGCAGAACTGAAAATGGAACGACCTCGGCACAGCAGGGGTTTAAGTGAACGCCAGGGAGTTTCCTTCCTGTGGGGACCAAACTATCACTGTGACCTGACTGCAGCAGACAAGCAGCAAATCCTCATTTCTGGTGTAAGGACCTTATGAGCCCCAACTCCAGGTGGCCGGACCCTCAGCTACACACAAATTATGTTTCCACTGGGGCGGCCAAAGGCTGCAGTGGAGTCCCGGGCATCCGCACGTCAGGAAAGGCACCAGGAGCAAGCAGCCAGCGCTTAAGGCAACACGCGGTGCTTGGTGCGAGGACGCGGTGCTCCGTGTGGGGACGCGGTGCTCGGCGCGGGGCCGGGCTGCTCCCCTGCTGTGTGCCACCGCGCAGGGAGGGCCTGTCCAGCAGCTGCAGCATGGGTGCCGGCAGGGACACACGCCCACGGGGAGCTGACGGCCTGGGAAGGGGCGTGCGGTGATCGCAGGAGGCATGGGATGGGGAAGGGAGTCCAGCGGCTGCTGTCAGAGGGCTGGGGGCCCAGGACAGGGAGGCCCAGCGCTGCCCATCTGTCCCCGCCACACCTCCATGACCACACGTATAATAGATGACAAACAGTCAAACAGACCCAGAAGCCAACCAAGGAGAGAAGGAAGAAACCACGCCAGGGTCTAGCTAGAAAAGGTGTTTCCTCCCATTTTATTTCATAATACATTTTCACAGAAACATGATATATTTACAAATATACAGGTAAGAGACTGCTGGTCAGAAATCTTAAAACTGAAAATGTCATCAAAAATTAATTTACAAAAGCCACCGAGGGTCCACGGAGGCGGCCAGGTGGATGGTGTGGCCAGCGTCTGCGTGAGCCTGCCCAGAAGCCCACGCAGCCTCCCAGCTCTGCCTCCGCTGGCCCCGTCTCAGGAGGCGCTGGTTTGCAGGTTTTTGGAAGCTGCAAGCATCGCTCTGACTTTGGCCATGAGATCCTGTGCAGGGCGAGACACAGAGGAGAACCTGTGAAGACCTGGCCAGACAATCCATGCGGTGAAGAAATTCATCAACGAGCTGGTGGTCAAGACCAAAGACAGTGCTTCTAGCACAGTGGGGGTGGCGGAGGAGCCTGGCTGTGTATGGTGCGGGCCACACGGCTTTGCCCTCGGCCTCACCCAGGGCCTGCGGCATTTTGCCTGAGATCCCTGTCCCGTGCTGGTGTCGATGACGGGAGGGACAGGGAATGAAAATTAGCAAAAGAAAATCCGTGAGGCCCCTTGATGAAAGGCTGGGAGCGGGAGGGGCACGCCCACTGACCTGAGTGATTTTGCTCTGCACGGAAGAAACGATTGCTGAAGAGATCTGGGCTTCTTTTTCCTGAGAGACTCCCCTGATGCAGAGAGAGAGAGAGAGAGAGAATGAGAGAGAGAGAGAGAGAGCAGAGCTTACCACCGTGTGAAGACGCTGAGCCAAGGCCAGCGAACAGCATCTCCACCTCCAAACCCCAGCTCGAGGACTGAGAAGAGCCCACTGCATCTGCTTCCAGTATCCTTTTTTTTCCCCCCCAGACAAGAGTTTCACTCTGTCGCCCAGGCTGGAGGGCAATGGCAGGTTTTCAGCTCACTGCACCTCTGCCTCCAGGATTCAAGTGATTTTCCTGCCTCAGCCTCCCGAGTAGCTGGGATTGCAGGAGCGCGCCACCACGCCCGGCTAATTTTTGTATTTTTAGTAGAGACAGGGTTTCACCATATTGGCCAGGCTGGTCTCCAGCTCCTGACCTCAGGTGATCCACCCACCTCGGCCTCCCAAAGTGCTGGGATTATAGGCGTGAGCATATCCTTCAATAAAAACAGGCTTCATAAACATGCTGTTACACGCATCTGAAATGTGTACAAACTGCAATCTAACTAAAAAAAATTTTTCATATAAAATTACCTTAAACACAAAGGAAAAAAGAAACAAAGAAAGGAAAGATGCAGCAGAACAGTGGAGCCCTTCCAGAACCATGGCCTTGAGTGGGTGCCCTCGGCCTGTGCACGAGGCGTCTGTGTGGGGAGCCAGCACCCCTGCCCCCCAGCGATGCTCAGCCTCCCGCACTGATGTGCATTTGGCCATTATCACATTTTCAGAGACAGGGTCTCTCTCTGTCACCCAGGCTGACGTGCAGTGGCGCCGTCACGGCTCACTGCAGCCTCCACCTCCTGGGCTCAAGCAATCCTCTCGCCTTAGCCTCCTGAGTAGCTGGGATTACAGATGCATGCCACCTATTTTTAGTAGAGACAAGGTCCTGCCATGTTGTCCAGACTGGTCTCAAATTCCCACCCTGGCCTCCCAAAGTGCTGGGATCACAGGTGTGAGCCACGGTGCCCGGCCCGATTGACATTTTAGCTCTAAAGTTGCCACCTCTTAGAGATTCGGATCCATCTCAAATGAGCTGAGGCCTCTGCCACCTGAATGGAAGAGTCGCACGTCCCATGATTCACATTTACGGAAGCAATCAGTTTAAAGGGAGCGGCTGTTCCCAGATGCTGCCCTCTGGTCCCTCCAGGGTGTGGGTGCCTGGGCAGTGGAGGGTGTCTGACTTGAAGTCATTATCACCTAGCCCAGGACTGGGATGCCACATCTGTGCTGCTGCCCAGGTGTGATGCCCAGCAACAGGTTGGCATCATCTGGCCCCGGCCGTTGCAGCCTGGGGACCTGCTCCAGCCATGGCAGCCTGGGGAGCTGCTGACAGTTCCAGGTCTACTGGTCACTGCAGAGCCCAGTATGCCTGGTGAGCATCAGGCACGTGTGTGACACCCGGGCTGCTTGAAGTGGACTGCTCCACTCCTGGGCTCTGCAGGAGGGTCTCCCCAGTACAGGACCTACTCCTCTGAGCGCTCATGGATCGTGAGAAGCCTCGTCTGGGGGACTTCCTTGCTACAGGGAGTGTGGTTGGCTTCGTGGCTGGTGCCCCCCAGGACACAGGCAGGGACTCAGGGAGGGAGGGAGAGTCCTGCCGGCCACCCCTTGCCCTTCCCCAAAGAGAGCCGCTGGAGGACAGGGGTTACCTGGAGCGTTCCTGGCTGGAGCCCCGACTCTCCACAGGGGAGACGCTGGCCGAGTGGGCCGAGGGGGCCGCGGGCCGGGGAGCTGCCTGCTTGCTGGGTGACACCGACTGAGACCTGGCCTTGGACTTGGTCCGCGACCGGGACCGCCTCTTCTTCTTCTTCTCGTGGGGACTTCTGAAAGGCAAGTGTTTCTGTGAGAGATGGACCTTTGGTTTAAAGGCAGAGCACAAAGGGAGAAGCTCGGACCTGAGCCAGTTTTTGGGTAAGAGTTCGTCAAGGCACAATTCAGGGATGGAACCATTCCAAACACATGAATTTTTCTTAAAGCAACTTATTTCACTGAACTGATAACTGACAACGCGGCAAATCGATCCATGGGTTTAACAAAAGCCACCCAGCACACTGAAGACTATGATCTCCCTGGAAGAAGCTTCGTTCCAGTTTAAGACCTCAAGTAAAATACTTGTGGTATTTAAGATGCAACCAGCATTTTATTCACATGCAAAATACGTAAGATAAGCAACCATAGGCAGTTCACAGCGCTTTGCCGCTACGTTTCATCAATAAAAATTTCCAAAATGATACAGGAAATTATTAAAGTATCAATACATCGAAGTTTAGCGTTCCTTTTTTTAAAAAAGCGGACAGGGTTTCACGCCGCTATCCAGGCTGGAGAGAGTGGTGCCATCACAGCTCACTGCAGCCTTCACCTCCTGACCTCAAGCAACCTCCTGCCTCAGCCTCTCAGACAGTTGAGGCTAGGGGCGCAGCTTCTGGTGCTGCTGCTTCCTTTTTCTGAAGAGATGGGGTCTCACTCTGTTGTCCAGGCCGGAGCGGTGCTTCTTTCTGACCTGCCAGTTGCCCGCCGCTTGGTGATGCTGCTTAGCCTCTGGGCAGTGGAGCCTGCTCTGTGGGCAGCAGCTCAGCTCTGACTGCTGTCGTTCCCTGTCCTCTTGCCTCCCAGAGTCCACATCACCAAACTGACAATCCCGTACCAGAAATGCTTGCCAGACATTCCGGCCTGCACCTGCCCTTAGACCATCCTTCTCTCCTGCCTGTAGAGGCCAACCCTTTGGCTTCCGCCTGGTCTAGCTCCTTTCCACACCTGAGCCACGTGGCCCTCTTGGCCACTCCTCTACAAACACTTGAGAGTGAACACGTACTTGGTAAAGGCAGACAGGCCTGAGCCCTTCCCATGAGGCCCTCCAAGCCCTGAGGTGCCCTACCTGGCATCTTTCACAATTCATCTGTAACAGACGCTGCAGCCTGCGCTTCTGGGCCCTGAGTACAGAGTTTCTTGGAGTCTTTGCATGGGTCATTTGCATCACTGATTTCCTTCCTTCCTTCCTTCCCTCCCTCCCCATCCTTCCCCTCCCTCCTTTCTTCCCCTCCTCCCTCCCTCCTGTCCTGCTTGCTGGTGCCTGGACAGGATTTCCTTCCTTCCTTCCTTTCCTCCTCTATCCTTCCCCCACCTCCCTCCCTCCTTCCCTCCTGTCCTGCTTGCTGGTGCCTGGACAGGATTTCCTTCCTTCCTTCCCTCCCTCCCTCCTGTCCTGCTTGCTGGGGCCTGGACAGGACAGATCCTAGGAGTAGGGCTGCGGGGTCCGCTGCCGCAGAAGCTGCCAGAGGCCTCCTGGCTCAGCCTCACCCTCGCTATCCAGGTGGACCCAAACTGCTCAATCTGCCAACCTGAAGGGGGAACCGTGGTTCTCTGCTGGTGTCTGACTCTCCTGGGGTTGCTATCTGCACAGCTTGCAAGCGTCTGGCCTCCCTTATGATTCTGCGTGCCACGAAGCCCCTTCCCAGCCTGGCCTCTTCTGTCTTCCAGGGAGACCCCCAGGGTCTGTGCACAGGCCCAGTTACCCCAAGCCCTGCCCCTCATCAGGGTCTCCCGACTTCATGCATTTCTTTTGTGCCAACCCCCAAGATCTGGAACATTCTTGCTTAATGGCTGGGGCTGTGCTCACAGTCTGGGGTGCAGACCCCCATCAAGGGGCCATACCCTCTACCCATCTCTCGGAGCCCACTAGTGCATGGCCCTGCAGAGCTCAGACAGAGCTGTGGGAGGAGGGGCCACAGCATGCCCTGGTAGGGACAGCCCCGATATGCAGAGGGGGACTGAGCGTTTCTGTCCGGGCTCCCTTGTGTGGTTCTGGGCATGAGCAGACTGTGTTGGTGCCAATGAAGTGACCTAAAGCAGCAGCGCCAGGCCTGGGGCACTCCCACCCAGCTCCATTCAAACAAGGCAGGACCTGCCAGAGGCGGTGCTGGCTGGCAGCTTAAATCCAGTTGCTGGAGGGGCTGTCCCTGGTGAGCTGGGCCCAGACAGATGACCTGGCGTCTTCTGGAAGCCTGCCTGACGTGCCCAGTGAGGACAAAATGTTGTAAATGGAGATGTTGCTCTTACTGTTCAATACGCCCATGTGGGATCTGTACACAAGAGTCATTTTTCTAAATTGCAAAATGTTTTGTGAAATTTTTGTCTATGAATACATGCCAGGATTTCAAAGGAAGCAGCAAATAAATAAAATATATACCAGCATGTGACATGTGTCCGAAATGACTTACTCTCGAAATCCAGCTGAGTTTATGTGGCTGCATAATGAACAAAAAGCAGGTTACTAATCCTTAACTGTAAACTGGCTCAATTCTGCTACAATCTGACCTAAGCCCTTGCTGAAGGAATGAAGTAACTCATTCATTTTTTTAAAGCACTAAGGTGCCATTGGGTGAAACGATGTCCTCGGTGCTGGCAAGTGCGCACACCCTGACACCTGGGCCCTATCCACGCAGGGGTGTCTCTTCCTTCCAGAAAGTTCCTCAATGCCACTTCATCTATACCTTCTCCACCCTGAGCGCCCCCCACTGCTCTGATTTCTAGGGCACAGCTTAAAGCTCTATGGAAATGAACCCCACACTATGCCTGTATTTGTTTGCTGGTTTGGCTTCTTGGTTTTCTGTTGTTTCTCAGACAGTTTCCCTGTTGCTCAAGCTGGAGTGCAGGGGCACAATCCCTGCTCACTGTAGCCTTGACCTCCCAGGCTCCAGTGATCCTCTTGCCTCAGCCTCCCAAGTAGCTGCGACGACAGGCAGACGCCACCACAAACGTTTTTTTTTTAAGTAGAGATGGGGGTCTCTACTTAAAAAAAAAAAAGCCTGGAAATCCTGGGCTCAAGCAATCCTCCTGCCTTGGCCTCTCAAAGTGCTGGGATTACAGGTGTGAACCACCACACCTGCCCTGTGTCTGGCTTCTTTTGCTTAGCAAAGCATGTCTGAGAGTCCTCCATGAAGCAGGGTGATCCTCAATGTGTTTCTTTCACCTATGAATAGTATTACATGACAGGACGCTACCATCGTCTGTTGATTAATTCTCCTGTTAATAGAGATTTGGTTGTTTCCAGTTTTCGGCAATTATCAATCAAAGTGTTTTTGGTCCAATGTTGACCTACAGAGGAGGTCACAGCGAGGAACAGGACAGCTGGGTGAGGGAGTAGGTGTATACTTAACTTTACAAGAAACTGCAAATATTTCCCAACCCAGTGTCTGAGAGTGCAGCTGCTGGGCCTGTGCCCACTCTCCCCAGAGCCCGTCCCGGTTTTCTGGGACGGGCGATTCCCGTCCAGTCCTGTCTCACTGGCTTCATCAGCACGGCCCTGACTGCTGACTCGTGCCGTTCCACATCTTTCCATGTGCTTACTGGCTATTTCAGTAGATCCTTTTGTGAAGTCGGCTGGCGTCCTCTGCCCCCTTCTTAATTGGGTCCTTTGTCTCTTTGGTACTGACACAGGCTTTTGTCGAGAGATACACGCAGCAAAACCTGCGGCCTGCCTATTCATCTTCTTCACTGTGCCTTTTGAGAGAAGTTTTTACACTTCAATGAAGTCTAATTGATTTTTTCCTCTTATCAAGAGGGTTTTCCACATCTTAAGGAATCTCTGCCACCCTCAAATTCATGAACATACTCTGTGTTTTCTTCAAAAAGCGTAACAGTCTGATCCGACCTGAATTAAATTTTGCAGATGGTGTGCGCCGCACCTTTCCCGTTCCGGTGTCCGGCTGTCCATGCAAGTTTTGCCGGAAAGACTTTCCCGGCTGGGCGCTGGGGCTCACGCCTGCAGCCACAGTATTCTGGGAGGCCACGGCAGGAGGACTGCTTGAGCCTAGGGGTTCAACATCAGCCTGGGCAACATAGCGAGACCGCGTCTCTAAAATAATAAAAAAAAATTAGCCAGGCATGGTGGCGTGTGCCTGTGGTCCCAGCAGAGGCAGAAGGATTCCTTGAGCCCAGGAGGCTGCAGTCAGCCGAGCTGAGCCGAGCCGAGATCCCACCACTGCTGCACTCCAGCTTGGGCGACCGGGTGAGACCCTGTCTCTTTAAAAAAAAAAAACAACACTTTCCTTTCTTTTTTCCATCACTGAATCACTGTGGCTGTGGCCCCAGCCCCCTGCCCTTTGGGTGATGAATTTTTTCTGCACTTTCTATTCCATCCCACTGTTCTGCTGTATCCTCATGCTGAGGCCACACTGCCTTGGTCACTGCAGCTTTCTGGTAAGTCTTGAAATCTTGCTCTTTGTCAAGGAGGCTGTTTCGGCTCTCCCAGGTCATCTGCATTTCCACACATGCTTCGGAGTTTGTGCCAATTTCTAGACAAGCCATGGGAGCTCTGAGTGGGACTGCACTGCATCTCTGCACCAACTTGTGGAGAACAGGCATCTCAGTAATACTTAGTTGGCTAATATTTTATGAAGTATTTTTGCATCTATGTTCTTGAGAGTCCTAGTCTGGAAACATATACGTGTGTGTGTACACACAGCACTGGTCTGTGAACACACACGTGCACACAGCACTGGTCTGTGGACATGCATGCATGCACACCAGTACTGATCTGTGAACACACACGTGCACACACACAGTACCGATCTGTGAACACATGTGCACATACAGCACTGGTATGTGAACACACACATGCACACACAGCACTGGTCTATGAACACACACGTGCACACACACAGTACAATCTGTGAATACACGTGCACACACAGAGCACTGGTCTGTAAACACACATGCATGAGCACCAGTACTGATGTGTGAATACACACGTGCACACACAGCACTGTTCTGTGAATACACACGCGCGCACACACAGCACTGGTCTGTGAACACACATGTGCGC